TTGCTGTGCCCACAGTGGATGGTGGTCTTCGACCCCCAGGACACCCACCCAGGCTCCACTCCAGGGCAGCACATCGCAGGGGGCGGTCTTCATAGCCCTGGCTCAGGGTGCAGGACCCCAGCTCCTGCAAAGGCCTCTGGAATTGAATCTCTGGACTCTGAGGACATTGGACAATTTCCCCTTGGCCTTGCCACTGCTCACTGCCCCCGTGGCCTAAAGATGCGGAGACCCTGGAGCTTGTGGGCTGGGTAGGCTGGGCGCGCATCCTTCCACCCCTACCCCTGCCCCGCCTCCACCCATGCACTGACAGCTGAGGCCTTTTTGTGCCTGTCTGGGGAAGAGCAGGCAATTCTGAAGTCCCAGAATGGGGACTGGTCGGGGGCAGTGTTCTCAGAATGGGGAGGGGGCAGTGTTCCCGGCAGCCTGGGCGCCTGATGTGATGGGTGGAGCAAGCACAGGACTCGGGGCCCCTGAGGCCAGCTGTTTGAAGCCTAAACTGTATTGACTGAGAATACAATTACTCCGTAATCGCTGAGTAAACTCTGGCTGGTCCCCTGAGCAGGCCTCTGGCCACTGTGGTGGATGCTGACATGGGGCTCCCCCTGCAACGCCACTGCTGGTCGGTGTCCCCAGCAGGGCCCCCAGCCTGGCTGACTGGCAGGTGATGGGAGTGAGGGGGACAGGGAGGGACGGGCCCGGGGTGGGGGTGGGGGTGGGGGGGCAGGCTCTCTTGTGGCCACGGTGCCCTGAGCAGAAAAGGTAGACTACAGAATCATTTTTTCTTTCATGGGGGGAGATATAAATCCCAGCCTAGAAAAATAAACCCTGGCAGGTTACACACTAATACATTAACAGCAGTTAATTCTATACGACCGGGTTCCGTTTTTATTTTCTTCTTTATATTTCTGCATTTTCCACATTTCCAACAACTAGCAAGTATAACTTATAATCAGAGAAAATAGATGTTATTCAGGGTCGAATGCAGTGGCTGGAAGAATCCCTCCCCTGCTCCTGAAGAAAACCCCGGTGGCAGTTCTGTGCAACGCGGCTGCCTGCGGGAGCTCAGCTTGGGCTGACCTTCCAGCCCCAGAACCGGTGAGCAGGGGTCCCTCTGCTGAGACCCTGAACTTCCCTCCACCCCAAGCCATCATCTGCAGGTGGCCACAGGGAACGGAGACAAAATACCGGGGCTGCTTACTGCCAGGGCCTGGCGCATTAGGTAACAGTGCCTCTTCCATCCTGGCTGGAGGACCCGACACCCAGAGTTCCCCAACCCCTCCCCTCCCCCAGGGCTGGGGCTGGTTCTGCTTCCTGCCCAGGGACCCCCTCCTGAGCGCCCCCCACCTCCTGTCATCACTCTAACAGAAGTCAGTCTTCCTCCTCTGTGGGGGGGCTCGCTGCCACCCACAGAGACAAATGGGCTGCTATTTCTCTCTTTCTCTCTCTAGATGCTGGAAGCTGCTTGTTCCCAGGTTACTGAGCACCCCAAAGGGAGGGGAGCCTGTGGGAAGAAAGGCAGGGCCTGCAATCACTGGCCCATTCAGTCACCCAGAATAAAGCCCCGTCATTAGTGGCAGTGGGGGGACACAAGGAAGGGAGGCAGAGCCCGGCTTGCCCTCCACTCGGTGTCCTGGAGGCTGATCGCCCTGCTTCCCACCTGGGAAGCGTTGGACGCATGCACGGGGCTGCGTGAACCTAGGCACGAGGATGGGTGGTCCAGCCTCAGAGACCTTGCTGGCCCCCGTTACCACCCCAGGGCATCCCACCCCCAGCCTCCGATCTTCCCACTTCTGGGAGCATCGCTCTCGGGCACACTCTGGGTCCCAAGAGAGAGGCTCCCTGACTCCACCCCCAAAGCTGTCCCTTGGGGTAGCCGGGCAAGGCTGAGCTCACACCCCTGCCCCCCCAGGACTGGGGCTTTGGGAGGGGGCAAGGGCCTCCCCCGGGCCAGCAGTTCTTCTCTGTACGTCTAATCAAAGGGGCTATGGGCCATCGTCTGCCCCACCACCACCCACATCCCCAGGATGAGCCCATCACCTCCAGAAACAGACTCCTGCTCAGTCCTACAGCTTGGGAAGGGATGGTTGGTGAGGCGGGGAACAGCACCTCACACTGCTGACCCGGATTACTGCTGGCTTGGGCCGGATTCGGAGGAGGGAGGTAAGGGGCCTCGTGGCCAACCCTGCACTCAGAGACCCTGACCCTGAGCTGTGACTGATGGTGTGAGGTCTTCACTGGGCCTCGTGTAGAGACCATCCGGCTTCTCCCTGGAGACCCCAGAGGAGGCCCACCAGCTGAAGCCTTACTGTTGTCCTGTCGCTCCGTCAAGTCCAACTCAGCAGCCCCATGGACTGCAGCACACCAGGCTTCCCTGTCCTCCACTACCTCCCTGAGTTTGCTCAAGTTCATGTCCGTTAAGTCGGTGGTACCTTGCAACCATCTCATCCTGTCTCCCTCTTCTCCTTTTGCCCTCAATCTTTCCCAGCATCAGGTTCTCTTCCAATGAGTCGGCTCACCACATTAGGCGGCCAAAGTGTTGGAGCCTTGCTGAGCCGGTGAAAACCCAGACTGAGCGCTGGGGGCAGCCTGGCTCGTCTCGGAGCCCCGCCCGGGGTCTCTTGAGGGTGGCTCGGGGACCTTGGGAGCTCAGCCCAGTGTCTGACCTCAGCACCCCCTTAGGAAAGCTCAGGGGTGGTGGTCAGGTACCCCCTCTGGAGGCTAAAGGGGAGGGAAGGGTCGGGAAGGTCCCGGGCAGAGCTGGGAACAGGCGTGCTGGGTGTCTGATGGGAGGAAACTTATCTGGGCTGGACTTCCCCGGAAACCAAGAACAGACAGACAGACACACAGACTACTGAACGTCCAGGGGCTCCTCCTAAAGAAGCTAAGACACTGACATCAGACGGACTGATGAACAGACAAACAGAAACACACTCCAGGAAACTACAAACCAGACAGACAGGACAACTGGAACAACTGGGAGCAGAAAGTGACAGTGGTTGACAATCGGGACACACCTGGGGGCCCCTCCACCGGCCCTGCGCAGAGTGGGGGCCGGGGAGGCAGCAGTGGGCAGAGCTCACAGGCCCTGGGGGACTTAGAGAACCTCCCACCTCCTCCCAGGGATACTAAGATAAGAGATTTCCTACCATTTTGGAGAAGAAGCCTGTCCCCCTGCCCCCTCCCGCCCCCCCATCCCAGTCTCCCACCCCCTCCCACCAGGAGTCAGGGCTGCAGGGTGGGGGTGGGGGTGGGGGTGACTGGGAGGGGGCATGGAAGACCCAAGGGACGACTTCTGTCCTTGGGCACCTCCCAGGCACCAGCGTCTTGGGGGCGCTGTGTCATCCGCCATCACTGGTGCCAGGGCTTGAGTGGCAGCAAGAGATGTGGACCAGACTGAGAAGGGCTGATGGGCAGGGGGGGCAGACCAGACAGCCCCTCCCTTCTCCTCCCCATCAAGGAGGACAACTCGGCCATGTGTCTGAGCAGTGACCGCTCATGGGACAGGGCACAGCCCTCCCCGTCCTTCCTCCGGGTCACTAACTCCCTGCCCTCTTTCCTGTCCTCTCCCACTGTCTCATTCTCTCATTTCTCATCTTCCCTCCAGTTTCCAGGAGGGTCGTTTCTAATGTGGGGGCTCACATGCCCCCCTGGACAGGGAGCCCCTGGGGATCCAGGGGCCACTCTCTCCTAAGGTCCTGGGTGCAGAGCTTGGCCCCCAGCCCTCCGGGCATCAGCACAGCACCTGGTCCTCCCCTTGCTTCCATCCCCAGTGCGGTCACCTCCGGGAACAACCATGCCTCCTACAGCCCTGGAGGTGAGAACTGCAAAGTGGGCCCCTAATTTAACCCAGCCCACCCACCCCCCCCGCCACTTCCATTCCCCCCGCCCAAAGTCCTGCCTTTCCCAACCCTCCAACCCCTTCTAAGGGAAAACAAGCAATAACACCTTTCAGGGAAGATTTTCCAATGCCAAGCTCACCAGCTACCACCTCTGATGACTACCCATTATTTTTCTAGGAATAAAGGGGGCAGGATCATGGGGTGTCTGAGGCTTAAACCGGGAAGTGGCCCTTAGTGCAGGTCTGGGCCTGGGTGCTCACAGCCCAGAACCTTCTGCTGCCTTCCCACACAGACCTAAAGCCCATCTGGGCTGTGAGCAGCCCAGAGGCTCAGAGAGATGGTACATCAAGTTATTCTCTACGTAGAACAGCCCTTCTTCTTACAGATGGGGAAACTGGGGCCCAGGGGAGTTAAGCAACTTGCCCAAGTTCACTCCAACAAGAGGAGACAGGAGATGGGGTCAACTCCACGCCAGAGTCCGAGTGTCCTGACCCCCAGGGAAGTAAAGGACGAGCAAAGGAAAGAGAAAGGTGCTGAACTGAGACGGAAATCTTGGGGGAATGAGAAGAGGACAAAGTGTGAGCAGCACAGAGGGGGCGGCTCCAGGTGGAGACGGAGGGAGAGAGTACTGATGCAGGGAGGAGGAGAGATGGAGGGTTGGGGGGAGGACAATGAGGGGAGGATGCTGGAGGGCAGGGCAGGATGGGGGAAGAGAGAGGGCGGGTGAATGACCCAGGACAGGCAAGGAGGAGAGCCTTTTACAAATTATCAAGAAAAATGCAAGTCTTGAGTAAGAAAGGCAGGATGGATCCTGTTATTGGTTGAGCACCTTCGGGTGCCAGACAACCCACCACTAAGACATACAGATAGAATCAAATTAATTTCCCCTGATGTTTAAACAGGTGAACTTATGGCTGTTTAGTGGGGACGAGCATAGGTCTGGGATTGGAACAGTAGAGTATAATGACCTAAAAGTCAGCAATGGCTCATCTGGGGTCTGGAGGAAGGAAGGAAAGATGGAAACACAAGGAAGGAGGTAAAAACAAATAAACAAAATGCGAGGCTAGGGAGGAAGAAGTTGAGTGGGGCCCCGGTGTGCGCTCTGCTCGGGGTGGAGGATGGTGGGGTGCGGAGGGGAGGACGCGCAGCGGCTCTTCCCACCTGTGGGGGCCCAGGTCGGAGCAGGCGGGCTTCTGCTCGGCGTCGGCAGCTGGACAGCAGAACTGGTGCAGCACGGTCTCATTCCTGAGGGCAGAGCAGAGGGAGAAGGTCAGCACCCTCTGACCACAAGGCGCCTCTGCCCGGCATCCTGCCCCCCGGGGGAACTCCGAGGTCCCAAACGCTGCCCGAGGAGGACATGCGTCAGTGCAGACACCACCTCCTGCTCGCAGCCCTCCCACCTCTTTCTACTGCAGCCCCCTGGTCCCCGCAGCAGGCTCCTCCACGTGGATGTACCATCTATTCAGCTCTGACTTTTGTCACAATCACAGTTAGTCCTCCAGAGCCCTGCCGCCCACTAAGGTCCGGCCAGCAAGGCAGAACTAGGTCTATTCATCCAAGATGCACAGAATTGCATGCAGTGAACATTTTTGGCTAATCATATGCAAAGATGCAAAGCACTCATAGAGGCTCAGATGGTAAAGAATCTACCTGCAATGTGGGAGGCCCAGGTTCGATCCCTGGGTCAGGAAGATCCCCTGGAGGAGGAAATGGAAACCCACTCCAGTATCCCTGCGTGGAGAATCCCATGGACAGAGGAGCCTGGTGAGCTACAGTCCATGGGGTCGCAAAGAGGCGGACACGACTGAGCATCTGAGCACATAGACGATGTCTCGATTTACTGAGGCTCAGTTTCTTGTGCGTGTCTCAGCACAGAGGGAATTCAGAAAATTCAAAAAGGAGGCATATCCTCCTGAAAGAGGAGAAGCTGGGATTCTTCTGGAAGAGGACCCCATTTCTTGTTTCAAAAGAGCTAGGAAGTGGAGAAGAGAGTGGCGGTACTGCCAGGGGAAGGTCAGAGACCAGAGAGACCAGCTGGCCGGAGGGAGAGGAAGCACCAAACGCCAAGAGCTAACGAGGCCGTCGCCCGGCCAGGCCCCGAACCGGGGAGGCTGCTGAACCACAACCTCCCAGATGTGTATTCAGACTCAGGACTCCATTGCTCAGCCATAAACACAGCTGAGTCGTCAAAGGGACTGATGAGATGTGCAATCCTGCAGCGGGTGAAGTGGCAGAGGGTGGACAGACACAGGGACGCCCAGCAGGAGAACCAAGAAAGAAAAGCCAACAACTTTGAGAAACAAGAACAAGTTATAGGGACTTCCCTGGTGGTCCAATGATTAGGAATCCTCCTGCCAGTGCAGGGAACACGGGTTCAATTCCCGGTCCGGGAAGATTCCACATGCCGTGGAGCAACTAAGCCTATGAACCACAACTCCTGAGACTGTGTTCTAGAGCCTGCAAACCATCATCACTGAGCCCACGTGCCACAACTCCTGAAGCCCGAGCGCCCTAGAGACCATGCTCTTTGCTCCACAGCGAGAGAGGCCACCACAATAAGAAGCCTGTGTACCGCGACTAGAGAGTGGCCCCTGCTCGCTGCAACTAGAGAAAAGCCCACACAGCAACAAAGACGCGGTGAAGCCATAACTAAATAAATAAACAAACAAGTTATAGGACTTTCACTGTGTGCTTTCAAGACTTAAAGCTGCTCAAATTAAGAGAATTTGGTGTTGGCATAAGGACAGACATACAGATTGGTTGTACCAAATGCAGAGGCTAGAAATAGACTCAAATATCAACTGATTCTTGGTACATTGATTTGTAGTAAAAGTACCAAGATAATTCAGTAAGGGATAATAACTTTTTTAACAGATGGTGCTGAAACAGTTGAATATCAATATGCAGGAAAATGGACTTCAATCCATATCTTACACCATAGATACATGAATTAATACAAACTGGATCATAGACCTAAAGTAACAGATGTAATAATTTTATAAACAGACCTAATGACTTTATTTTTCCAGTAGTCATGTATAGATGTGAGAGTTGGACTATAAAGAAAGCTGAGCACCGAAGAATTGATGCTTTTGAACTGTGGTGTTGGAGAAGACTCTTGAGAGTTCCTTGGACTGCAGGGAGATGCAACTAGTTTATTCTAAAGGAGATCAGTCCTGAATACTCATTGGAAGGACTGATGCTGAAACTCCAATACTTGGGCCACCTGATGTGAAGAACTGACTCATTGGAAAAGACCCTGATGCTGAGAAAGATTGAAGGCGGGAGGAGAAGGGGATAGGAGGATGAGATGGTTGGATGGCATCACTGACTCAATGCACATGAGTTTGAGTGGACTCCGGGAGTTAGTGATGGACAGGGAGGCCTGGCATGCTGCAGTCCTTGGGGTCACGAAGAGTCGGACACGACTGAGAAGCTGAAATGAACTGAATGATTTTACAAATAACATTATAAAACTTTTCAAAGAAAACATTAAAAAAAAATCTGTGACTTAGAGGACACAGAGATCTCTTATGTAGGATACAAAAAGCACGAACCATGGAGGAAATAAGTTGATAAATTAGACATCATTGAAATAAAAAGAAATTTTCTGTTTTGAAAGACACTATTAAGAAAAGTGAATTCTTATAACTTAGTAATTAGGGGCTTCCCTGGTGGCTCAGTGGTAAAGAATCTGCCTGTCAATGCAGGAGATAAGAGGTTGGTTCCTAGTCTGAGAAGATTCTGTACGTCTTGGGGCAACTAAGCCCATGCAACACAATAATTGAGCCTGTGCCCTAGAGCCCAGGAACCACAACATGAGAAACCCACTTGCTGCAACTGGAAAGTAGCTCCCCTCATCACAGCTGGAGAAAAGAAATGAAGACCCAGCATGGCCAGAAATAAATAAATAATTAAATGTAAAAGAATAAGACAAACAACTTCATAGAGAAGTGTACTAAAGATTTGAATAGATACTTCACCAAAGAAAACATACTAATGACATCATTAGTCATTAGGGAGATGCGAATGAAAATCAAAATGAGACAGCACTGCACGCCCACGAGAAGGACTAAGTTCAAAAGTCTGACAACACCAAGTGTTTAGGAGACTGTGGAGCACCTGGGATGCTCACACTTCTGGTGGGAATGTAAAATGGCACAACTCTTGGGAAAGGACTCTGGCCATTTCTTATAAAGTTAACACACACACTGACTATTCGCTCCTGTCACTGCATGCCTAGGGCTTCCCTGCTGGCTCAGACAGTAAAGAAACTTCCTGCAATTGCAGGAGACCCTGGTTTGATCCCTCGGTCAGGAAGATCCCCTGGAGAAGGGAATGGGTACCCACTCCAGTATTCTTGTCTGGAAAACTCCAAGGACAGAGGAGCCTGGCTGATTACAGAGTGAAGAGCTGCAAAGGGATCGGACATGACTGAATGGCTAACACTAATGGCATGCTTAGGTATTTACCCCAGATAAATAAAAAATACATATTGACATGAAACATTTGCACAGCTGCAAATGTTCCCAGGGTAAGAAGCTGTCAACTCTACACATACGCTGTCAGTTGATCTTGGACGAGGTTGCCAAGAAGGCACAACGGGGAAAAGATCATCTCTTCAACAAATGGTATGGGGAATGTTTAACACCCTCATGCAGAATAATGAATTTGAACCCATGTCTTACACTGCACACAAAATCAGCTCACAATGGATGGGAGACTTAAGCATAAGACCTAGGGGGAAAGCTTTGACATTGGTCTTGGCAATCACTTCATGGATATGACACCAAAACCACAGTCAACAAAAGTAAAAATGGGCAAGTGGGACTGCATTAAACCAAAAAAACTCCCACACTGCAAAAAAAAAAAATCAACAGAGTGAAAAGGCCACCTACAGAACAGGAGAAAATAGTTGCAAACCATATGTCTGATAAGCAGTTAATTTCCAAAATACAGAAAGAGCTCCTACAACTCAATAGCAACAAAACCTAGTAACTCAATTAAAAGTGGGCTAAAAACTTGAACAAACATTTTTCCAGAGAAGGCATGCAAATGGCCCACAGGTATATCAAAAGATGCTCGAGGTAACTACCAAGGAAATGCAAATCAAAACCACAAGGGGCTGTTACCTCACACGTGGTAGGATGTTTATTCTAAAAAAATATATAGAATAACGACAAAGACGACAAACACTGGGGAAAATGTGGAGAAATTAAAACCCTTGTACACAGTTGGTAGGAATGAAAAAAATGGTGCTATAAAAAACAGTATGGAGGTTTCTCAAAATATTAAAAATAGAACTACCACATGATCCAGAAATCTTCCTTATGGGTATTTATCCAAAAGAATTGAAATCAGGATCTCAAAGAGATATTAGCACTCCAATAATCAGTGCTGCCCTGGAGGAGGAAATGGCAACCACCCCAGTATTCTTGCCTGGAGAGTTCCACGGACAGAGGGGCCTGGTGGGCTACAGTCCATGGGGTCTCACAGAGTCAGACAGGACTGAGCACACACAGCACATTATTCAGTGCAGCACTGTTCACAAAAGCCAAGGTTCACACACAACCTAAAAGACAGATGGACAAATAAAGACGATGCTTTCTATACGAGTGGAATCTATTCAGCCTTTAAAAAGAAGGTAATTCCGGGAATTCCCTGGCAATCCGCTGGTTAGGACTCCACACTCTCACTGCCAAGGGTTCAGGTCCAATCTTTGGTTGGGAAACTAAGAGCCCACAAATGGCATGCTGTGGCCAAAAGAAAAATAAATAAATAAAAGTGGGAACAACAAAAAAAGAAGGAAACTCTGCTGTATCTGACTACATGGATGAACCTTAAAGACATGCTAAGCAAAATAAGCCAGTCACAGAAAGGCAAATACTGCATGATCCCACTTCTATGAATGAGGATCCTAAAATAGTCAAACTCACAGAATTAGAGACTAGAATAGTGGTTGTCAGGGATGGGGGAGGGGAGGGGACAAAAGGGAAATTGCTGGTCAACAGACATAAAGTTTCAGTCGTGCAAGATGAATTTTTCCTAGAGGCCTGATGCACAGCGTTGTGCCAATAGCTACAGTGTACACCCAGGAATCTGTTCAGTGAGTGGATCTTGCACCACAATCAAATAAAATACGTAAAAAGGTTAAATATCCATGTAAGTGTTTCGGTTCAAACATTCATTTCTCGAGTTGTGTGACTAACAGGAGGGTTTCCACGGACTTCCCTGGCACTCTGGTG